ACGTCCTCTTGTTAGTCAACAAATGACATCTATACTTAATACCCCATTAACACATCAAAATTCTCAATATATTTATAATTCTTATTTTATAGGACACGCACCATTTACTCGAAATAATAAATATACAACATCTGAAGGTATTTCACAAGAAAAATTATTCACCCCTTTATATGCACAAATGTCTATTCAACAATACTCCACAATGATTGTTCCATTAATGGAAAATATATTACATGAATTCTTTTTAAGAAGGCTTGGAGAAGCTCAAGCAAAATATGAAACAATGTTACCTCTATTTAAAAATGGAGAATATATTGAGAATATTCAACAAATTCTTCATTCATCGTTTTGGAATTATAAAGCCACTCCTGTTTCTAGTGATTTAGAAGGGTTACAAGCTATTCAATGTATTAATAGTTATTGTAAAATATCAAATAGATTTATTGAAGAGGTATTAAGTCTTATTTTAAATTCTTTAGATCCTAAAACTCCAAACCCACAACTATTAAGTGTTTTAGTTTCTTTATTAGTTAATTGTAAAACAGGTAGTCACCGTCATAAACATTATTTTATGACATATACAATGGAAATGAATGAATTATTATTATGTTCTCCATTTCTGAGAACAACACAATCTTATTTATCACAGATTGTATCTTTACCAATAAATTCTTCAATTTATAGAAGATTAAGAGAGTTTTTCCAAGACAGAACAGTTATTATAAATTATCTTGAAACTCCTCAATTTTACCAAATTATTTCATTATTAAATTTCCATACGTCTCCTTCAATGTTCTCTCATATTGTTAATGATTTTGAATTAAAGAAAAATATATCAAGAAGATGTCTTGTTGATTATTTCCTTTATTCAACAATGATTTATAATGATTCAATTGAAGTAAAACAATTAAAAGAAGACTATCCTATTTGTTATTGTTGTATGACTAATGCATTATTATTTAATCCACAAGGTGTATTTGACTTAATTAGACGTAATTTCCAAAGAGCAGAAACATATATATCAATGCTCTTTGAACACTATTTTAATGTAAATTATTATCCTGATTTTATTCAGAAATTACTTCAACTAGATTTATCTACTTCTAATCTTCCATATCCATCACTTACAATAATATCATTTATTGTAATGTTATTTAGACATTCCGCTTTATCAGAAGATGCGTATCTAATAATTGAAAAAATATTACATAACAAATCAATGTTAACGACATACATCGAACAATCGGATGTATTAATTGAAAAATTTAATGAAATCCCTGAAGAGTTTATAGCCCAGATGATCACTACTGATATGAAAATTTTATTCGATATAGTGTGTCATCCTCATTCATTATAAATTTAATAATTAATCTTTATTTATCTATTATTTTTTTTTTGTTTTAATAGTATTATATAAAATCAAAACAACTTCAAAATCAAAGAACTGATAATAAATCGTAAAAAAATGAATGACTTAAAACAAATTGCACATAAAACTTGTGTTGAAAGATATTCTAACAATTACGTTCAATATATGATAAATATTTCTGAAAAAGCAAAGCAGGTAAGTGATGAACTTATTGAATTAATATCAATAATTAATGAATTTCAAAAATCCATTGAAGAAATGAGAGCCCACGTTAATCAGTCAGCATCGCAAATGTCGTTATCTCATGAGCTAATAATTATTTCATCATCAAATAAATCATTTATAGAAATACTTAAAATATATGAAAATGGAATGATTAATTTAAATTCAAGTTTAATGCAACAAAATAATTGGGGAGAAACTCTTTCATTTATTGAAGAAATAAAAATGCAACAAACTCAAATGATATCTAACATTATTGCATTTCAATCATTTGCTAATTACATTATTAATACAGTAAATATTAGAATGGAAATGAACAATTATTCATCTATTTTACAAGAAGAAGATTGTACTCAACTTCAATCTGCTGTGACTTCTTTGATTAATGAAAGAAAGAATTTATTAAATATAAAATATAATTTTAATACTTCTTCAATTAATGAAAAAGACGATATCCCTCTCCCTATTTTAAAAGCACTTTATTCTCTTTACTTCTCTCGTCGTTCTCTTGAAGGTGTATTTAGAATCTCTACTGATGTAAATGTAATTGATAATTATATGGATTTTATTGGAATAATTGACACCCAAACTATAACAAA